AAAAAAAAAAAATATCCTGGTCTTGTTATTCAGATAGTTTCTTTTTCATTAACTAAAACAAATAAATAAAAAAATTTAATTATTGATTTTTTAGATAAATAGTTATTATAATATTCCTAACAATCTGATAAACAAGAATCTATATTTACAAGATTATTCAAATTATGTTAGGTAGTTGCTTGGTGATATAGATTAGATTTATTTCCATAATATTTAGATGGTTAATTTAGTACCTATTTACTTATTTGTAGGTATTACTTACTAATTGAGTATTAATATTATGATTTCCTATGCGATGCACATAAATGTGTTCAGGCTATAGCCCTTCAGAATGGGATGGAAAAATAGCTATATGAGTGCAGTCTATGCACTCTACAACACCTGGTACACTATTTTTAACGTAAAATGTATAAGTAAAAAATAGTGAAGGACAAAAAAATTCAAGTAGATGAGTACATATTTGTAATTGAAAATAAATGTAGATATGCTTCTATCTGATTATATTTAATTCTTCGAACTTCTCTGGAAAATACACATAGCACTAGATAACATCTGGAAGATTCATTGAATCTGAAACTTTACGTATAGATTTGCTCACTGAAGATCGGCATAAACCTGATGATCTATTGTGTCCAATATCTGGTTCATATGATCCACTAGCGAAAAATCTCAATGCTGTTAAAACCTATTAAGTAATTCAAACTTTACATCGTCAATTAAATTGTTAATTAGGTACCATTGTACAAGTATCATAAATAGACAAATAACTCATTGAACTTGGTACCTACATTTCTTTCTATTATCATTGCTGTTTTCCTAGATGGTTCAATTATGAAAGGTAAAAACTTCAACAAGTTCAAAAACCAATTTTTGATGAACTTTTTAATGGGCGGCTCTTCAGATAAATTTTAAGTGAGATTAGAGTAATTACAAATATAAAAAAACTTATAAAAACCATTGTTACCATTTGTTTTTAATTTCTACATATGTTCTACAGTTATACCTACCTTAGTTATTTTAAATTAAATAAATACATTTTTCATCATTGTTTAAAAAATAAATGTACCTATATACTATTCAACTGTTTTACTTTATAATTAATAAATCGGTTCTTTTTGTACAAATAAAATATATTTATTGTATATAATATGTAACGTAAAACTTCTGTTAACGGTCATTTTTATGCAAGGGTAATTTTACTTGGTCCCATTAAGTATTATGAAAAAAATACATTAATACTTCTATAAAGCGGACACTCTAAATGATGATCGAAATATGAGATAGAATAAGAAAAAAATATGTACAGAAATATATAAGAAGTATAAAAAATATTTAAAGTGCATAGTTTGCTCAAATTATTTATTGTGGTTTATACTATTTACATTAATGTTATGGAACTTTTACAATTACGCTATGAACACACCGGGTATGTATGTTTTATAAGCTTCATTAGTCTCCAATACCATTAAAAAAAATACGTGTGATTATGATGGCTTCCAAACAAAAATACCTAACTTTAGAAGAAAAAAATCAAGCTGAAAAAGAAAACGTGAGTGCGCGTTCTCTTACAGATAAATATAGAATAGGCAAAACTCGCGCACCAATTAAAAAAAATAAATAAATCTACGGTTTTAAACTTATGGAAATCTGAAATATGGAAATTGGTTGTTTTTATGCATTACATATAGCGATCATCTAGAAATATAGCACTTTTGTTAACAATCACCTCTAAAAGACGATCAACTTTAAATAGCAGTAATTATTTCTGGTCCCTTCGGTGATCATTATATGGAAGTTGTACTATACATATATATTTTATATATACATAGGGATATTGCAATCAAGAATCATCCTTGATACTACTATACAATAAATTGTATGGGTCTCTTTTAAATATGTAAGTCCCAAACACATAACCTAACCTAACTATATATTAAAATGATACCATATTTACAAAACAAATAACAAATAAAAAGTAATTTTATGCGTAATGCACGCAGAATGAGAATTAGGAAGATACTTAAGGCACATAGTGTACACAACTAAACATTAATATTAATCTTATACCGAAGGCACGCATATTTGAATAAAGACACGTACCTTGCGTGTACCACACCCATTATTAAAAATTTAAATAGTTTCATTAGGTGTACGACGCTTATATCCAAACCTTAAATTGTAAACGTAAGCAGGCGCACGGCTCGCATTATTAAACATAATACAATTACCTTTTGCTCAAGACGCATACAACTATATTTTAAAATGATACATAAGTCGTAATATATAACAAATTTATCTTATTTATAAGACGCGCAAAACTGTATATACAAATAGTAAAATAAACACATTAATAATAATAAAACATACCTTTTGCACGTGACGCTCATAACTATACAAAAAAAGACTTACATTAGGCACAGGGCACAAATAATTAAATATTTAGTGGCTTTATGTACAAGACGCACATAACTACAGTATAACTTCTCTATAACGGACCCTCTATTAAACGGAATCCTCCTTATAACGGAAAATGTCAATAGTCCCAGTGCAAATAATATATAAAATTGACCTCTCTAAGACGGAACCTCTACTAAACGGAAACGGACAATTTTCGTAATCAAATTAGTAAAAATACTCTCGGAAAATAAAATTATTTAAAGAAACATTACAGGTTTTCCTGAAAAATCATTTGACAGTATCGCTTCACGATTGTTATATTGGTTTGTTTATTACATACCTTTTAATGAGCGTGTAGAAAAGATTAGAAAACCTATGTACGTAATTGTGTAAATATGAACAGCACATTCGTCTTTTTTCTGTTGAATTGTTCATATCGTTTAGTAAACGTGCAGTGCTCACCGTCTGTATTGTCGTTGTGATTTCGTTTCGTACATACATATTTTCATTTTTACTTACTGTGTCAATCACCATCGACACTCTGTCCGATGTACACCTATATTACGCTCCGTATAATTTTTTGTGATCTCTTTATCCGTTAATTTTAAATTTTATACATATATAAAGGAAAAAAAAAAGAGAAAACACTTTACCGTACACTAAATAATAAAATTATTATAATTTCAGTTCGCCTAAATCGTTTCTTTCAAAATGTAAATAAATTCAATGCGTAAAACCACCAGTGTCGTTATACAATACACGTTGCCTATTGCTGTCGAGCGGCGAGTTACGACCTCTGCCCTTAATAAACATGTCACTATCTCCAAACAATCAACGTAATATAAATAATATTACACTCAATGCCGTTAACCCGAATTCACCCGGGGACAACATTGTCAACATAGACGAATCTTTAAATGGTGAGTGGACATATATGCCGAACAAAAAAAATGTATCAGATTCATCCGATCCGTGTTCTCCTGATCCCAATAAAATTAAATATAAAAAATTATTTATAACTGAAAATCGGTACGATATATTGCAAGCCGAATCTCAAATCACACAAAACTCTACCACTGACACGCAAAACTCTACCTCAGAAACTCCATACGATGCAAATCCAATCAAACCACAACCACCAATATTTGTAAAAGGCATAGCGAACTTTCCAGATCTGTGTGCTGCTCTAATTGAAAAAATTGGGGTCGACAATATTTTCTGTAAATCGTCGGCAAATAGTCTGAAAATTCAAACCACCAATCCCGATGCATATCGAACACGGGTCCATTTTCTGAGAGATCAAAAGGCTCAATTTCACACGTACCAGTTACGGGAGGACAAGCCTACTCGTGTCGTCTTGCGAAACTTACACCCTACTACATCCATTAAACTAATAAAAAGCGAACTTGAATTGCGCCTCTTCGAAGTAAGAAAGGTCACTAACGTCCTACATAAGACCAGTAAATCACTATTACCTCTGTTCTTTGTTGACCTCGAGCCCACTGCTCACTCAAATGACATCTTCGAACTTTCTTCTTTTCTCCATACGAAAATCAAAGTCGAAGAGTCCTATAAACCGAAAGCTTTAAGCCAATGTTTGAACTGCCATGACTATGGCCACACAAGAGCCTACTGCGGATACCCTTCACGCTGTGTTCGCTGCAGCGCATTCCATCGATCTTTTGAATGCACCAAAACACGTGACACAGCAGTCAAATGTGCTTTATGTTCCGGCGATCACCCGGCCAACTACAGAGGTTACAATGTCTACAAAGAATTACAACGTCGTAAATCATCACCCACAAAAAGTAACTTCTTATATGATAATATTAAAGACAATGTAAACAATCACAATGTAAAAGCTACCCATTACCAAACTCATCTGGAATTAATTCAGATGCCTCTTCTAAAACTTATGCTCAAGCCACTTTTAGTCAACCATCACAGTCCTCTCCTCCAACCCCCCCTCTCCACTGACCTAACTGTAACCATGTCTTCTTTTGTGCACGAACTAAAGTCACTCATCAGCCCGCTCATCGCTCTCCTAACTCAAGTAATTGCTTCTCTTCTAAATAAAAAAAATGAATAATTCATACACCAATAATTCATTATCATTTATATTATTCAATGCAAATGGTTTAAAAAATCACGTAAATCAATTACAGAGTGTACTATACGATAAACGCATAGACATCGCTCTAATCTCCGAAACCCATTTCACAGAATATTCGTACGTTTCTATTCCTGATTATAGCCTAATCAAATCCAACCATTCAGATGGCACAGCTCATGCGGAGCAGCCATACTCATTAAATCCAATGTTAAATACTACTCACTTATCAACTACTCTCAAAATCATTTTCAATCATGGAAAAACTCAAGTTTACGACATGATAAAAAATAAAGAAAAGATTATGGATGAATGGGTAAATAACAAAAACTCGGGAAAGAATAAAAGATTGAAAACTCCTTCATTTGAACAAATTGACCAAAAGTTGTATAAATGGTTTATCAGCGTTCGGTCAAAAAATTTACCAATTTCCGGTCCAATTTTACAAATAGAAGCTATGAAATTGGCAGAGAAAATGAATGTCAAAGATTTCAATGCTTTGAATGGTTGGTTTGACAAATTTAAAAAAATGCATGCTATTGTTTGGAAACAAGTTAGTGGTGAGTCAAATGACGTTTATCAAGAAACAGTAACTTATGTTTCGTCACAAGCGACGAGTCAGGCCAGCCACTAGAAACCAAACGCACAATATTGAACAAATTCCCAAAAAGCCAGCACCGGTCAGTAGTATTAGACATAGGTTTAACTTTTCCCAGAATTAAAAAACCAGAATTGCTTAGATGAAATTTTCACAAGGCAAACTGGGAAAAGTACAACAAATACGTCGAAGAAAACATCAACCGCGTCAAATCAACGATAGAAAACTACATAAGGTTTATTAAACTTATTAAAACATCGGCAACTAAAGCGATACCCAGAGGCCACAGGAAAAACTACATCCCGTGCTGGACAAAGGAGTGTGAGAAATTACTCGATGAATATGAACAAAACAATAGCGAAATCTCAGCAAACCGATTAATAAACCTACTAGATGAAAAAAGAAGAAAGAGATGGATATCGTCAGTAGAAGAACTGGACTTTACACGATCAAGCAGGAAAAGCTGGAGTCTCTTAAAAAAGCTGGGGACTGCCAACCCAGTTCGAAAATAAAATAATATTACGCCAAACGAAATAGTTAGTATGTTGTATAAAACCTCAAACATTAAACCAAGCAAACAATTAAAGGCAGAAACAAAGAAGACATTTCAGTATGTGTTCGTACTTCACATAGTGTCACCACGTGTAATCAAATTGCGGTCCGTATTATTAGCTTCCGATAGCAGTGTATTGTGATCGTTGCAGCAAATCAAGTCGGGTAATGTATATCTCATAGTACATAGTCCTCTCTCATTAAGCCACAATGGGCGAAAAGCCCGCGATATCTCAATTAAAACCGTTTCTAAAACGGTCGGCAATTACCACCGGTATTAGAATGATACCGAAAAATAAAATGTTAAATACAAACACGTCCACCAATCTACCTCAACCTAAATCAACAACACCTCATGCTAATCTCACTTGATCTACAAAAAGCGTACGACATGGTTTGGAGAGACCGAGTAATAGCGATCCTCTATAAATGGGGGAGAAGTGGACACATGTTAAAGTTCCTGGAAAATTTCTTAAACAATCGCTCCTTAAGAGTAAAAATCCAAAACTCGTTATCAAACATACACGACATTGAGAACGGCCTCCCCCAAGGATCTGCTCTCAGTGTCACCCTTTTCCTAGCAGCAATTAACGACATTGGTGACAATCTCCCTCTCCCAGTCAAATACAAACTATTCACCGATGATTGCAATATATACTGCAGTGGAACAAATTACTCAACCTCCGCCAAACTCCTTCAAAAGTCACTGAACACACTATCTCAATAGGCCTCTAAGACAGGTTTTATCTTCTCTCCATCCAAAACCCAAGGAATCATCTTCTCCATTAAAAAAAAAACCCCTATCCCCCATATCACACTAAATAACATTTCTCTCCACTTCTCAAACAATATACGTATATTAGGTCTAACATTCGACCACAAATTAACGTGGACAAATTTACTTTTGAGCAACAATATTTTAAAGTTTAAAAATGTAATGATATTTACTGTGAGGTTTATAAATAATGCATATTATTATTTCTTTTACCGACATCTCTATCAAACGAGATATTTTTAGATTTAATGAATTGGGATTTAATCGAAAACTACACGTAATCTCTTTATTAGATTATTTGGAATATTATATTATTTTTTTCTATTTTTGTTTGTCGTTGTCGTAGTTATTCGTGGATCGACGATAACGATTATTATTACCGTAGTCGTGTTACTTCTTTTGTAATTTGTACACATCGTGTTTTACAATATTATCATACGGAAGATTACTGTTATTTATATTTTCTTCATACACGAGCACCATAGTTACCCGCAACGGTATAGTTTCGACGAGCGAACGATTATTACGTACCTATTTTTATTATTGGACTATTAATTTTAACAGTTTATACTTATTAATTATTATTATAAATATTATATTACTATAGGCAATTTGAGACGAAATTGTTGTGTATTATTATTCTGAATTAGTATTCATATTTATTATTATTGCTATCACAAAATTATCCCGTCAAGTTTAGACACTTTAGTCAACTTGATGTAAATCATTGTTTCTAAACAGTAAGTTCAAAAGTATTTTAGACATAAATTATAAAAATTCAAATCATGACAAGTAGAAATGGAGATAGATTCAGAAAATATGAGTCAGGAAGTAATAAAAAGGCACGCAAACAACAGAGAGACGATTTTATACAAAACGGGACAAAAACAAACGGGATCTCTCGATAAATATCTTAAGCCAACTACATCTCAAAAAGATTATGCATCTAATGTTCCTAAAACCAATAATGAAAATGTCAATATAAATGCTGATACTTCAACAAGTATTTGTGAACAAAAATCACCTCTTTTATCTGAAACTATAACGTGTCTAAGGCTTGGTACACACGTGCGTTATTTTGACGTGCGACACCGCTGCGTCATCGTAATTGCAAGGCGTTATATTTAAATTAAATTGACCGATACACACACGTCTCCGTCACCGCGCGTTATCGTACGAGACAAAATTAACTCCGATAACGCAACGTCAAAATATCATAAATGCGGCGTCTCATTACATAGCGATTTATTGATCGTTACACACGTGAGTGTTCTTATCGTAATAATGGCTTTGAACACACAATTTGAAATTTTTGACATCGAAATTTTTATTGCGAAAATAAAGAAGTACCCTGAAATTTGGAACTTGAGTTGTGAGTCATATCATGACATAGTAAAAAAACGATCGGCTTGGATTAATATTTGCCGTGAATTTTGCGAGGGATTTGATGAGAAAGAAAATACATTAAAAAATTAAATAATTAAGTGAACCTATTTGACTTAGTACAATTTTATTTATTTAAAACTATACTAGAAAACTATAAGAAAATTTAGTTAAGTAAATTGATACATAATTTAATGTTATTTTTAAAATCCTATTCAATTTCTGCTTTTTAATCAGGTAATATTAATAAACTACAAAACTTATGTATTGAACTATACAAATTTCTGTAATCTACTTTTGTATTATTTTTATCATATGTTATTAAATTATTAAATATACTCCCTCTGTCAAGGGACGCTACCAACATCTGATACAAAATAATTGGTAAACAAGTTGCGAATACGCGTTGATTGCAGAGTTGGTTTAGGTAGTTTCGGTTCTGATTCCCTCAATATGTGCAAACTCTACACCAGTTGTAACAAACCAAAGTCCGTTATATAGGCCATAAGCCGAACATAGTTTTTTTTTTACAAAATACCGCATACTACGCGCTTCACGCTGATACCGCACTCTATAGGTTAAAACCATCACAGCAGAATACGGCGCCACCGAAGAGACACAACAACGATTGCCGCTGTCGCCGTAGAACCCCCACCAGCAACGCCAATACCACCACCGACGCAACCGTCGGCGCCCGACCAGCACTTAAATACCGCTGCCGCGAACAACGAAAACACACTCCGTTTCCTGACAGCAGCTAGGCAACACGCACCAGCTGACAATACCTGCTTTCGACTTTACCTAGATTCACATGGAAGCGCGTACACGCGCATTTACCGTTCAGATGGCTGCGTGTCACGCGCGTTATACAGAAATCTTGTAGTCAAAAACTATATTTAAAAACCATGTATAGTACAAGCTAGACTGTCATCGAGAATGGATGTGATAGATGCTGTATGTTTGTGGGCCGTCCACCGAAGGATGAGAAGACGTAGAGAAATGAAGGAAAATATTGGGTTCATCCTATTTTAAAAACAAGGCTTTCTGATAGTCTTTATATCACTTTGAATCCTAAACTTATTCATGCGTTGTCATGTCCCATATGGCAGGCCTTTTTTCTACTTCGTTAATTAACGTATCTATCTCGATTTTCATATTTAAAAATACACTAGTTTTCAAACACTATTAAAATATATATCAAAATTCGATCGTTCGCATCAAAACGCGCGTGTCAAATGAACGGTCCGATAATGATCCATGGAATTTCAATCCGCGCTGAAAGCACGTGTTCGCGCAGAAATAGATTCTTGCGTCGTTATCGCGATCGACGCGTGCCATATGAACGATGTATGAGAAACCCGTATATCTAAACACGCGTGGCTAACTAACGTGCGTCCATGTGAACCTAGCCTTTAGGTAAGTAACACCGCCTCAGCTGTCCGGTAAATAACCCGGTTCCCGGCCACTAGCAACATTCCAACCGCTATTCTTTCCCTTCTTTGCACGGTTTATCATCCGTCAAAGAACCCCGAGTTCTCGGACACTGGTCACTACCATTTCACCGCTATTCGGCTAAGAACTACGAGTTCCCGAACACTATCATTTCTCGCTCCTTTCCCAATCATATTATTTCACAATTGTGTTACTTTGCTATACACCCGTTGCGTACCGAGATTGTGTATAAAACATGTACCTTTATTTTTGTATAATGCTCTCTCAATGAAATCCCATCCACGCACCGCACACCCCGCAATCACATCTTCCCCTATAATTTTTTTACCGCGAAAAAATTCTGTAAAAACCCCATCTTTCTGTACATTAGTAAATAAGTTATCAATAATAAAAAGAATTTTATACATTGTTAAACAAACGTGTACTTTTATGTTAATGCCCATAAATACATGGAACGTTACACAATGGTTCTCAATCTTTTTAGGACTGCGACCCAAATTTTCTTCCAAAAATCTATCGTGACTCCCATAGTTGTACATTAACAGAATCAAAAAAGTAATTTCAAAAATCAAATATTTTACTATTTTATTACTTATTTACTAATAATAATAATACAGAGGTGGCCAAAAGTCGCGCAATAAATTTGCAACACACTTTGTTATAGTAAAAAAATCGTTTATTTCTTCAAATAAAAAAAAAAATGAACATTACAAAGTAACATCTCACGGCAATTAATTCATATGGCGGGCCAGATATTAAAAAAAAAAAAATTTCGATGGCCAAAAAAATCTTAAACATAATTTTATCATTAATGTATTATTTTTGTATTAAAAACACATTTTAAGACACAGTATTTAATATTTAATTATTTATAAAGTAATAATACATTCATACTAATAATAACAAAATTTAATGAGAAAAATGACATTTCTTTTCTTGAGCTAATTTTTTAAAATCTGGTACTCTTGGAGAACAACTGATACGTAAAGTGTTTTCAAGGTTGAGTTTTGTTGGGTTGTTGTCTTTTGAAGTGATTCCAGTCTCATGTGCGTCGTTCCTGTTGCCTCGGATCTGTTAATCTTGAACGGTATTGGTTTTTTAAAAACGTCATATTTGAAAACGAAGTTTCACATACATAAGTGGAGCCAAACATAGTAGCTAATTTTATGGCAAGGGTTTTACAGTTCGTGTATTTATCCAACTCTGCATGTTGTTTTATCCAAAAATCTTCAGTAGACGAAGTCTTATTCATTTGCAATGAGATATCTTGCAAATCAATAATTTCCATTTGAAGTGAAGATTTTGGAAGTCTGAATAATTTTGTAGTAACGTCAATCCATTCTCCAGCCGGAGAAACTTTAAACGGATTTTTTAAAAATTGAGTCCGACAAAAAAATTAAAAACATACTGCAGTCTATGTCGGAATTCTTTTTATATTCAAGGATTGTTGGAAAATGAATAAAATCTTGATTTTTAATATCTTCTTCAAAGATTTTAAGTTTTCATCGGAAAGCAGATACACTTGATATCAGATCACAAATTAATTTGTTATGCCCTTGTAACTCAGTATTATTTAAAACTCAGTACATTTAAATATGTAAGAATGTCTTTTAAAACTGCCACAGATAGCATATTGCTCTCGTTTGTTAAGAATTTATGATACTGCTTTGATTCTTGTGAATCCAAGTTTACCAAGAACGTGATTACTTCTTCTTTTATACTCCAAAAACGTTCGATCATTTTGCCTTTACTTAACCAACGGATATTGTTATATTGAAGTAAATCCGAATACACTGAATCACATTCAAATAAAAATCTTAAAACTGCCTGTGCTGAAGAGCAGATCGGGACCTCAAAAAATTAATCCACTTGATCATTATGTCCATTACTTTCTTCAGTGTTGTACTAAGTTTGCCACACAGGGATGTTTGATGAATTATACATTGATATGAAAATATTTCAGCATTCTTATCCTTGATTCTTTTAACAAATCCTTTTTCTTTACCAATCATTGCTGGGGCGCCATCAGTTGAAATAGACACAATTTTATCATAACTAATATTTGATTTAGTCATGAAGTCGTCAAAAGTTTTAAACAAATATTCTCCACGAGTCTTGCATTTCAATGGTAATAATGCTAACAACTCGTCTCTATAGTCTATTCAGGTTAAGAGTGCCCAACTCGCGCATGCATACCAAGCTGACGACAACTGTCGGACCCTGTGATTGGTCAGCATTGTTCGATCACTATCGTTGTTTATCGGAGTCGGCAACGCGCCGCCGTGTATACCACATGATAATAAAAACAAAACAGGTATTCTCCGTCGCGTCATATTTTATATTATTATACAAATAATATACAAAATTACAAATACATAAAAAAAAATTAAAGATATTTACAAAAAATAAAAAAATGTTTTAATTAAATTTTCATTCTGAATCAGATGTTGTCTCTGACGACGTGTCTCCAGTTACTGTCATCGTCAAATTTGCCATTTCGGCTGTCGAGACAGCACCTGTTGTTAGTCCTTTGTGGAATGCGTCGCGTTGGGATTTTATAGTTGTGTCGACCCACGTTTTCGATGTNCTACGCCACCCAACTATTTCGTTTCTTTCGGTCATAGCACTGTTTCGACTTCGCTTTGTATATCGAAAATCCATTTTCTTCATTAAGTGGTATAAATTGGTTCGCGATATTACTGGCAAACTCTTGTCAGCGGATACAATTTGGTGGATTTTGTCCATTGTAGGAATTTCGCGTCGAAACCAAATTTGGTGGACGTGACTACGGACAGCATTTCTTTCAAATTCACCAAACCGATCGATGTAAGACTGTCTCGAACGTTTTGGAATTGGAGCAGCCACCGACTTCGTATTATTATACTCCGTAATTATTTTTTGAATTGCCCGTTCCCCAACACCTATTTGGTCCGAAATGATTTTCCTAATCTGCCTTATATACTTATTAGGGTCTGACAACAAAATTGTTTTATAAGAATTTACAATTCTTTGTCTTTCACCTGTACTGATAATCTAAAATAAAAATACTTTGTGCTTATAATATATTTTAATGTAAAAATTCGAAAAAAAAATGACGTAATAAATAAAATAAATAAGGATTGAAATATTGATGGCTAAAAATGAAATAAATGTACAAAAGACATTCAAAATACTCGCCAGTCTGAAGGTTAAAAAAATGATATTTGCATTTTGTATATTTATATAAATTATAATATGTACTCACTTTTCTACATTTATTTCTTTTAATTAAAGATGATCCTGATGGTCCTGCTTGTTCATTTTCATCACTGCTGAAATTATCCATGTTTGGTAAAAAAATAATTAAATAAGTTAAAAAAACGGACGGCGTGAAATGTTCGGTTTGTTTGTAGTACAGCCACGGTGCGTTGTGAAAACGTTGTGATACTATACCACACTATGTATAACGCGCGTCGGTACACCACACTGCTCCCTGTAGAAAAATACATACGCGAACTGAACTGGTTTTCGTCCGAGCGAGTGGGCACTCTTAACCTGAATAGACTATAAACACTTTACTTTCAACGTCTTAAAAGCGCACGAAAATTAACATCTGCTCAGAATCAACAATATCACATGACTCATCATATTGCAATAGCGTAGCAAGGAGCCATCAGTAAAATGTGAATTAAATTATTTTTGTTGTCATCGGCCAATAGTTCTGTTCTTCTTGTATTGCTTCTTGCTGATAGAGGAATATTTTGAATAGCATTAATTATGTCATTTTTCTCTTCAAAAAGTGCAGTGGCTACTTCCAACATACACTCTTTTACAATTTCTGAGTCTGTAAATGGCTTTTGGTGCTTATTTAACGTCCAGCAAACACGCAATGCTGCTTCTATTGACTTTTCTTGCCCACTCATACTTTTTACTAACATAGTCGTACTATTTTTATAAGACAAGAGATATGCTTGGAGCTTATCTTTACGCGCTGTACTGTCAAGAAGAAATTTTTTTTCAAAATCTTTATGCATTGTATCATAATGACGCTTTAAATTAGCACATTTAACGACAGCAACTGTACTGTTGCATATGAGACAAACTGGAACGGCTCCAGCTCTTACTGGAAGTGTAAAAAAATATTGTTCGGTCCACTCAGCCAGTAACTTTCTGTTTTCATTGTCAACTTTACGTTTTTTGGAAAACATACTCGATTGCACAAGAATATTATTTATAAATTAATAAGTTTTAATACTACGGACGCGACGGACTACAAACGACAAACGCAACGCGTTAGCGATTAAATTGAACTAAATAATATTATTATTAAGTGTTTCATATTTTTTCTTTCCGCGGACTGGACATGGCCCGCGGGCCGCCTATTGCCGACCCCTGTCCTATAGCTTCAATAACTGCTCCACAACGGTTTTTTACCGCGTTTGTGGCGTTATAGAGATACGAATAATCGATGCTCAAAATTTGGAATTCTTCCTCGATTCGCTTTTTTAAATGGATAAAATTTTAGATTGGCGTCTTGTAAACTCTTATCATCTTAGATCATCTCTTAGATCTTTGATAACTCTCCACATGCTGAAATCACAAGGTGTGAGATCGGATGATCTTGGGGGCCATTTACAAAATGCGTTCAATAAGCGACAATTTTGGAGAGGGCATTTCGGCAGTGTTACGAACGATAACGAACATGAAACTGCGTCTAATAGGTTATGTTGTTTTTTTATAAATCTTTTATCAAAGTTGCAATATGACGTAACGGAAACGACGTGGAGGGAGAAACTGCGCCGTAACGTGCATTCCATACAAGACGGTAGGCGTTGAGCGACTTTAGGCCACCTCTGTATAATATCTTAATTAATAATTAGGCATATGTGATGAATGTGCTTGTTTCCTGCTATTGTTGATAACAGCACCAACATCGACGTCAATTTTAGTTATTTTCAAACGCAAGGAGTGTGAATTGGAGCTTGTTTCTGTTTGTTTTTGATGCCCCGAAAATCCAACTTCGCACAAGTATGAAGATGAGAAAAGTTACCTTTAAAGCTTCAGTTGAAAGAGTTGGACATTTCTGTTGAGCCAAAACTCAATCAAATTATTGCGGCTAAATTTAAGTTTTGATGATGTATCTTCAGATATATCAATGAGTTCTTCGTCAGCTTTTGTTGATATCCCTGTTAATATAGCGTCTTGAAACGGATTCATAACCCAGTTATTTTTTTGAAATTTTCCATTTCTTCAAGGAAGTAAAAGTTAAAGTTCAACGAAATTAAATGCAATGTGATTTGGCTAATTATATCATCACGAACTTTTATATTATTTTTGGTTATGAAAGTTTAAAATGTTTCAAAACAATCATAATTTTGCTAGTTTTTTCTTTTAGAAACAGTGCAACTTCTTCGCGGAATTCCACAAGTCTTGTTAATACTTTTCCTCTTGACAGCCAACGTACTTCAGTGTGCAAAAGAAGAGCCGAAAGCCATATGCGTTCTCCTCCTTCACCGGACGTCGACTTCAACAATGCATCGTAATACAGTACAATAATAAATCTTTTACAATATGATCTGCGTTTTCTACTTTTGTTTCAATTGATTTTAATAGAATTCAAAATTTTGAAGAAGCTATGCCAAATGCACACTCTATAGTCATTCGCGCTCGCGCATGTCTATAGTTGTAGTATTGTTTTTCGTTTTCTTGACATTGTTTTCTTGGAAATGGCCGTAATTTCTTAACGGAAAAGCTTCATCCCCTATAAATACACATGGCGCCAAGACGTTAGAATCTGGTAATTTTATTTCAGTAGGTTGTTTAAAGGAACCGTTTTCAATACGTTAGTAAAATTTAGAATTGACCATAACACTACCATCGTTATCATTCCCGTATCCACCTACGTCTACCATTAAAAATTTATTTCTTGCATCAGCTACTGCCATCAGAATAATTGAATAATATTGTTTATAATTAAAATATATACTTCCCGAATTTGCAGGGCATCGCAGTCTATTGTGTTTACCGTCAATACTTCCCACACAGTTAGGAAAGTTCCATTTTTCGTAAAATTCTATTGCTGTGCTCTTAAAAGTATCGACACTTGGAGAAGACATATGTTTGAATTTTAACGTATGCCATATTGCTTTACACACTTCAATAATAATATTTTAGACTGTAAATTTAGATATTCTGAATGACATGGCCAGGGCCGTCCTTAGGGGGGGGCGAGCAGGGCCCAGGCCCTGGGCCTCGCGTTTGAAAAAAAGTAGTAATTTTTTTATTTAAATTGTATTTTATATTATATAAATTATATAAAAATAACGTAGTTGATTCAAAGTAAAAGGATTGAAGTATCGATAATACAATATTATCATAATTGGTAATCACAACAAATCAGCCGTGGTGATGCGGGTTTTTCCCGACCGTCTTTTTCGTCGAATTGTTATTAGTTAATATTTATTAGTAATAGATAAGATAATAATAGATTTAAAACGTCGCCGTCGCTCGTCGGTTGTCACCGTTGGAAAAACATTGATAATAATAAACAGTATTTATTAAGCAAATAGTAGGTTGACCGATTTTATTAGTAGTTTTTACTTTTTCGTGTGTGCGTTTGCTGTTGACGTCACCACGTCGGTTGTATCTAATATTCTAATACATTAATAGATATTAAAATGAGTGGTCGATTACGGGATAAATATCGACAATTTAAAAGTGGTAGCGAAAAACGAAAACGTAAGTTTGCTATTGAACATCAAAATGAACGTCAAAAAAACTCTTTATTCAAATTTTTCAAAAAACATCATAATGATGATACTATAGCCGATAGTGGTGAAATTGAAAGTGAAAATGCGAATCTCCAATTGAGCGATAGTGCCAATGTTAATTCTGAAAAAGTAGAAGTTTAATCACTTCAATCCAATAGTGATAGTGATGAATATGAAAATGTGCAACTAGTATCAGACGATTTACGACCGAAAGAAGACATCGAGAGCAGAAAAATACATGAAGAAGAAAACAACATCGACGATCCAGGTAACTGGCCACTAAATATTAATGATAACTTACGGATTTATTTAGTTAAAAACCCACCTTCAAAAATTAAAAANTTAATCGAGTATTTTGTCCCTATTGTCGTTTGTTCCCGTCAAAGTCTACATCATCTTTGGCATCGATAGGATTTTCAAATTGGAAACACATTAATGAACGTTTAAAAGAATATGAATTATCTATTCCACATAATACGGCTCAAGAAAAATGGATACAATTACGTATGGGACTTGGTCTCCATAAAACTATAGATAATAACAAACAAGTTAATTTAAATATTGAAAAAGAACGTTGGCGTAGTATTCTTAAACGAATTATTGCATGTATAGAGTTTTTGGCAGAACATAATGACGCTTTTCGTGGTACAAGTTCTAAATTATATACAGCGAATAATGGTAAATTTTTAGTACTAATACAAATGATTGCAAAATTTGATATTATTATGGCCGATCATTTAAGACGCGTATGTAATGATGAAATACATGATCATTATTTAGGACCTAGAATTCAAAACGAACTTATTAGTATTATTGCCACAAAAATACGTGATGAAATAATTAATCGCGTTAAGCAGAGTAAATACTTCACGATTTTATTAGATGGAACACCTGATAAAAGTCATAAGGAGCAGCTTACATTTCTTTTACGTATTGTAGAAATTTCGAAAAATTTGAAATATGAAATAAATGAATATTTTATATGCTTTATTCACACTTCAAATAAATCTGGTTTAAATTTAACTGAGGAAATAAAAGAACAATTACAATTAAGGAACTTGGACTTGAAAAATTTCCGTGGCCAAGCATACGATAATGGGGTAAATATGGTCGGCCGAAAACAGGGAGTACAATCCCGAATTATTTCAGAGAACCCAAGAGCTTTTTTTATACCATGCACTGCGCACAGCCTTAATTTACTTCTCGGGGACATGGCATCGTCTGTACCGGCTGCTATGACATTTTTTGGCGTAATTCAAAGAATTTATACAATTTTCAGTGCTTCTACTGAAAGATGGACTATTCTTTTAAAATACGTTTCAGACTTTACTTTAAAACCAATGTCAGATACCAGATGGGAATCTCGGGTCGAATCAATTAAACCTATTCGTTTTCAATTATGCTAAGTACATGATGCTTTAGTAGAAGTCAGTGAATTAACAAAGGATCCTAAAATAAAAAGTGAAAGTTCGTCTTTGGCAAATTATGAACTTTCTTATGATTTTATTTTGAGTGTTGTTATTTGGTATGAACTACTATCTACTACTATCTGCTATTAATAAAGTTAGTAAGAGTCTTCAGAGCGAAAACATGGAACTGAGTAATGCTGTTCAGTTATTAAGTGGTCTTAAATATTTTTTTAATAATTTTAGAGAAAAGGGGTTTGAGTTATCAAAAAAAACTGCACTACAATGTGAAGACATTGGAACTCAACCAATTTTTAAACAATCTAGAGTTCTAAAAAAAAGTAAACAGATTGATTATGAATGTAATGATACACGTACAGTTTCTAATAAACAAAAGTTTTATCAAGATTATTTTTTGGCAGTGGTAGATCAAGCAATTGTATCAATTAATCAACGATTCGAGCAATTATCTCATTATTCAGAAAACTGGATTTTTATATAATATTGAAAATTTGAAGTTATTTGAAGATGAAACATTACGAAAGCATTGTATGGATTTAGAAATATTATTAAAGGACGGTGAAAGTTGCGATTTGAATGGAATTGAACTTTTTGACGAGTTAAAAATATTATGTAGAATTTTGAACAAACAAAAAACCTGTATCGAGTGTCTTGATTGAATAGAATCAATATGTGGTTCATTTCCAAATATTTCTATCGCGTTAAGAATATTATTAACTCTTCCGATAACCACTGCAAGTGCTGAGGGGAGTTTCTCGAAGTTAAAAATCATTAAGAATTATTATTATAGGAGATCTTGAATGTTTATTATTTGATACGACTGTCCCAGATATCAGTATTAGAATTAGTATTAGGCGAAGTATTGTTTGAAGCATCATTTTCTTTTCTTTTTTTTTGATAATTTTAAAGGTGGAATTATTTTGTTAGATAATTGATTTGGGCTCCAAGCCATATCGAATGCGAGTATTTTTGTAGCAGTATGTAGTGACTGCGATAGTGGATGGCCTTGAGGCCTTTGCCGGCGAGGCGGCGGCGTTAGTGGACTTTATACGATAAGATTATTATATTATTATACATTACTGGTTTGCGGCGGCGTTGCGTAATTTGACGTTAATGCTATCGAGAGCTATACAAAACGGTGCGCGTAAATGAAATGTGGTCTCAACGACGTCCAAACACGAATTAAATTATGAAAGCTCTACATTTTTTTTTTTTTTTACTATATTTGAGTTAAACAATCTATACAAATTATGTATAATAAACTTAAGTGTTAACAAAATTAAGGTTACAGTCAGAAGACATGAAGAAGAAGCCGCCCACTGGCGACACTCCAGGTCAGAGTTGTAAGGTTAAATTATAGAAGTAGGTTGCGGCACCACTTTCTTTTTAATCTTTTGGGAGGGTTGCCAGGCATTGGATAGGTTACATTTTTAGCTAGGATGTTAGGATGGTCGAAGAGAGAGTTGTGGTAACAAGAGTAGGACTTGGTAGCGGTTTCTAACTCGGTGTTCATTTTTAGATCTGAGTGTAAAGTTTGGTTGGATACATAGAAAAGAGCCTTTGTTATTAAACGAAACAATTTGTTTTGAGTTATTAGAATTTTGTTTATGTGTGACTTTTTTGCAGAGCCTCAAATTTGGATGCCGTACATCCAAATGGGTTTAAGGAAAGTTTTGTATAAGTTTAGTTTAGTGAGAAGTGTAAGTTTTGATTTTGCGTTAAAGAAGAATTTAAGGGAACGAAGACGAGAGTTTAGTTTAATTTTGATGTTATGAGTATGATGGGCCCAATTAAGTTTTTTATCAAAATATATACCTAGGTATTTTGTGCTTGATGAAGTTAGAATTGTGATGTTGTTAAAGGAAATTTGAGGGTAAATTTGATGTTTAAGGGTAAAAGTGATTTGGCAGGATTTGGTTTCGTTTATTTTAACTTTCCAATTTTGACACCAGGATTCCAAATAAGAGAGATGAGATTGAAGTTGAATAGAGGCAATGATTGGGTTTTTGTGGGTTGAAAGGATAGCTTTATCATCGGCGTATTCAGCAACGAACGTGTAGGGAGAAGTGGGTTGATCAGCTATGAAGATGTTGAAAAGGACAGGAGCTGTAATTGCTCCTTGAAAGTTCTACATTTAATATTGAAAAAAAGAACTGTGCAATGCAGCATGCTGTTAAGAGGACTCCACACTGGACATTATCAGCAATAAACACACCACACGCAAAACAGAGAAAACGGCATTAAAAAGTGGTTTTAGAGTAAAACTATCTATTATAAAATGTATAGATAACATTATTATTTATTATTCATTATTTATTATTTGATTTAGCATTTTAAAAATTGATATCCTAAAACATGCACCCAAATCGGTGTGGTACGAGAATCGACGTTCAGGAGAATGTCGGAAACTGCGAAAACAATTGGTGCTGCTCTAAATGTAAACTTCATAGCGATTCTAAGTCAAAAATACTAAAAAAGAATACTACGGAAGATAAAGAGGCACATATGTTAACTAATGAATCTTTTAATAGTCAGACTCGATCAATTTTATGAGTGAAAAATTTTTAGTAAACAATTTCAAGAATTAATATTATCTGTAAAAGATTTAAGAGAAGAGAATAAAATATTGAAATAGCAAAATAATGATTTACGCAATGAATTTAATCCACTAATCAAAAAAGTCAACAACTTAGAACAAAAGTCGCTTGATAACTTTGTTAAAATTGTCCCAAATATTAATAATGAAGATTGCAAGCTCACGGTGAAAAAAATTGAAATTAAGAGTCTACAGTCAGTAAAAATTGAATAATTGAATTATTTTTTTTTGAAAACTACAGAGAAAATGGATATGCGTCAGTTAAGGTTAAAGCACAAGAAATTATATCAATGGGAATTTAAATAAAGTTTAAAAAATAATAGAATTAGCAAAACTACCAAAATGTTTAATTATGAAGGTATGGATTCTTTGGCTAATGAGGAAGACAATTTTAGAGTGAAGTACTTTTTAGTGTTAGTTAACCAAACTCTGGCATCAGTGAAAATAATATTTGAACAAATAACTCAATACAATGAACAATTTGGATTCTTGTATAGAATTGGTCAGTTGAAAAATATGAGAGAAGAAGAGTTATTTAAACATTGTGAAGATTTACAAATTACGTTCACAGATGTCCAATCCACAGATATTGATGTAGCTGATTTATGTACAGTACTCCCTCGTTAACACGAACACGACGGGACCACAAAATAACCTGTTCCGTGTTAAAAGAATTTGTGTAAACCGATAGGTTTAACACAAATTTGTTCGTGTTATCACAAAAGGTTAAATCTAATACGTTATTTTACACTCAAATACATTTTTTTTATTAAACAATTTATTATATATTAAAAATTATTTATTTTTTTATTATTGCCCTCATCGCTTGTAAAATATTCCATTTTACACATGGTTGATCAGAATCAAGGCATAACAGTGCATGGCGTACAAGTCTAGTCTTGAAATATCGCTTAAAAGCTGCAATTATCCCTTGATCCAGAGGTTGTAACCTGGATGTGCAATTTGGAGGAAAATAAACTATTTTTACGTTTGGCAATTCCAGGTCTCCAATATGATTATGGGCACTGCAATTGTCCATAGTCAAAAGTACATTTCTATTCTGAAGTGCCACTTTTCGTTGAAATTTAAGTAACCATAGGCAAAAAGATGTTGAATCGACCCACGCGTTTTTTTGATCAGTGTATTCGAATGGAAGACTAAGCTTATTTACATTTTTAAAGCATCTGGGATTTTGATATTTGCCTATCACCCAAAGCTTGAGTTTTTCCGAGCCAGTAGAGTTGCAGCACAACACAACAGTCAATCTCTCTTTACTCTTTGCACCCCCATGCGACTTCACTCCTTTAAAATCCAATGAACGGTCGGGCAATAAATTATAAAAAAACACCGATCTCATTAATATTGAAGATATCATTTTCGCTATAGGATTGCCTCACCTTTACGAACCCTTGAAGCCATTTATTTACGTCATCTGCAACTTTATTTGCCTCGCCGCTCAAAACATGACAAGAAATATTATACCGTTTTTGAATTCTCAATAACCAGCCATCAGAACTCGCCATATGCTCAACGCCATTGAAAATACAAATCTCCTTTGCTTTCTCCCGCACAAGTGCATCTGATAGTGGAATGTTGGAGTCTCTGGCTTTTTTGAACCACTTCAAAAGTTCCTTTTCAACGTCTTGAAGCATGGGTTTTCGTAGAAGCTTTGTAATGTTGGTTGAACCAAGTGCAACTGCTTCGTCAATCTTATCTTTACTTTTAATAATTGTTGATAATGTTGATTTTGGAATGCCAAATTTCTCCGCGATTTTGGTTTTAGGCAGTGTACCTATTTCGACTTCTACTAAAATGAGTTGCTTTGGTTTTAGATCTATAGACATTTGCTTCCTTTTCAAACTCATTTTGGTATTACACTAACGACACCAACAAAGTCAACTGACCAACTGATCGATAGAGCAAATATTAGTTTAAACGAGAGCGATTATCGCCGAACTAGATTGCACACATACAAATGTATAATACATGTAGGGATAAGATAAGATATCGATAAAACTGTGTGATAAAGATTAAATTACTAACGACTATACGAGTAATTTTTTTTTTTTTTTTTTTTTTTTTTTTTTTAAATNGAGGCTGGAGATAAGAAACCGCCCATTGGAGGTACTTAAGGTTAGGATTTTAGGCTAGAAATTTTAGTTTGCTAGTAGGAGAGGGTGTGATTACAAAATTAGGGAGATAGAGGTATAAACAATTTTATATTAGTAGGTCACGACACCAGGTACGTTTTAGACGCCTTCTGGGGTCACCAGGAATAGTGTTGGTAGATAGTTCGGTAATCAGGGGATTACGATGGCTGTGGAACTTGGAGTGTGTGCGTTTGTAGAAAGTTTTTGCAACGTTTTGAACTGTTGGAATAGCTAGATCTTTATGTAGAGTGTGGTTAGATACAAAGTAGGGAGCTTTGGTTATTTGACGGAGACATTTAGATTGGAAGATTTGAATTTTATTTAAGTTGGACTTTTTGGCTGCCCCCCAGAGTTGGATACCGTATGTCCAGATTGGTTTGAGGAGGAGTTTGTATAATAGTAGCTTGTTTTTTAAGTTGAGATGTTGTGATGTGAGGAGATAACGTAATTGTCGAGAGCGATTATTTAAAGCAAGTCTTTTGTTGTGGGTGTGAGTTGCCCAAGTTAACCTGCGGTCTAAATGTAAACCTAGGTATCTAACATTTTGGGCGGTTGGGAGAGGTACATTGTTGAGGAAGATGGGCGGGCAGACTATTTGCCTTAGAGTGAACGTATAATGGATGGATTTTGTTTCATTAATTTTTATTCCCCAGTCTTTATACCAGGTTGATAAGAGATTGAGGTGATTTTGTACGAGGTTTGAGGCTATTTCGGGGTCGGAATGGATCGCTAGGAGCGCCTTGTCGTCAGCAAAATCACCAATTGTAGTGTTGGGGGTGGTAGGTTGATCTGAGGTGAATAAATTGAAGAGTAGAGGTGCTGTTACGGAACCTTGAGGTACCCCTGCGTGGATAGGTGATACTTCGGATAAGGAGAAGCCAGATCGAACGGAAAAATATCTGTTTTCTAAATAGGATTTAAATAATAGGAAATAGTAGGGTGGAAGAATAGATTTGAGTTTGAAGAGTAGGCCTTCGTGCCAAACTCTGTCGAATGCCTGTGATACGTCGAGGAAGGCAGCTGTGCAAATAAGCTTTTTCTCAAGAGTGTACGATATTTTATCCACAAGACGATGGACTTGGTGTATTGTAGAGTGGTTATGACGAAATCCAAATTGGGTATTAGGTATATTGGCTTCAATGATAGGAAGGATGCGTTTTAGGATAATTCGTTCAAAAATTTTAGAAAATAGTGGAAGAAGACTAATGGGCCTGTATGATTCGGGAGAGTCGGGAGGTTTGCCAGGTTTGGGGATCATAATGATGATTGAGAATTTCCAAAGAACAGGGAAGTATGACAGTCTAAGTATAGGGTTGAAAATGTGTGTTAAGAGAAGTAAGGTTTTTTTGGGGAGTTGTGTAGCTACCTCAGCTGTGATTAGGTCATAGCCTGGGCTTTTGTGGCGAGGGGAGTTTTTTATCGCATATTCAACGTCGCTAGGTCGAATATGTTTAGGTGGGAGAGTCATGGGAAGAGGGTGAGAGAGAGAAAGGTTCACTTTTTCGATTTGAGAAGGAGTGAGAATATTGTTGTGGGGTTGGAAGGTAGAGTAGAGATGATGTCGAAATATGTTGGCTTTATCTAGGTCAGTGACAGCCCAAGTACCATCGGATTTTTTTAGTGGAGGAACAGATTGTTTTGTTCGAAGGATTTTCCTTGTTGTTTGCCAAAGCGAGTTGTCAGTAGACGAGAGGGAGACGAGACGTTTGGTGAAATTATCTGATCTAATAGAGGCTAAGAGTCTTTTAAGTTTATTTGTTAAATTGTTAAGTTTGCGTTTGTCCGAGGGATATTTGGTTCTCTGCCAAGTTGCACGCGCTCTCCGTTTGTCTGAGATTAGTATTCTTATATGTAGGGGAAGATTTATGGAGGAGTTTGTATTTGGCATTGGGGAGGAGGAGGACCAAGCAGCTTCTTGTATAGACTTGGTTAGGAGGTGTACGGCTTCATCGATATCGTTTGGAGATTTTAAGCTGATTTTGAGGTTACATTGATTATCAAGGGAAGATTTGAATTTTAGCCAGTCCATTTGGCCTAGGATGAGGCTTGGTTGTTTTGGTTTAGCAAGAGGGGCAGAGTCAATTGTTAGGAGGATGGCTGAATGGTCAGAATAGAGGTCGTTGAGATTAGTTGTTAGGCTGTGGAAACTATTGGGAATTTTAGATATAAATATGTCCAAAATGTCTGGCCTTTTTCTGGGTGAAGTGGGCCAGTATGTCGGGGATGGGGGAGAGTGTACTTTGTAGTTACGATTTTGTGTTGTGAGATGAAGTAGGTTACCACGGGGATTGTTTACGCGACAGCCCCATTGTAAGTTTTTAGCATTTAGATCACCTCCTATTATAAATTTATGACCAAGAGTAAGGAAGAAGTCGTTGAATTGGTTTAAGGTTATTGTGTGGCGTGGTGGACTATATACTGCAAATATATTTAGAGGGGTGTTGTTAAGTGTTATTTGTATGCCACTGGCTTGAATGTGGTCCGTTTGGAATTGCGGGAGAGGAAAGAATAGTAGGGAAGATTTTACTATGATGGCGGCTCCCGCGTGTGCGGTGCCATCAGGGTGGTTGGTTTTGAAGATTTGGAACCCAGGAAGGTAGAAGTGTGTTGAATTGATGAAGTGAGTTTCTGATATGAGTGCGATGTCGATTCTGTTATTTTGTAGTAAGGCTAAGAGTTCGTCTTTGTGTTTTGCTAGACCATTAGCGTTCCAATTTAGGATGAGGAGAGAGTGAGATGTTGCGTTATTATTTGACATTTTTGGTGTTAATGAGATTTGAGAGGACGGTGGTGAGGAGAGAGATAAGAGGGTTTATTATAGATTTGAACTCGTCAAGGAATTTTAGAAGTGAGGATTCATTGTTGTTTGTGGAGGTGTTAGAGTTTGCGGACTGGTGACCCTCAGTTACATTAGCATACGTACGTGACCTGGGTGTGTTTTCGGAGCCTGATTGTTGCAGTTGATACTCAGGATTGGTGTTGATGTTGAGGTTGAGATTATGAGGCGGTGGCTGCTGGGCTTTCTTGCTTGAGATGTTGTTGTTGTGTTTCCGGGAAATTGTTTGATATATTGCGCATCCCTTGTAGTTGGCTGGGTGTGCACCTTGACAGAGGCCGCATTTTGCTGGTAGATCGGGAGATTTTGTGCTATACGAGTAATAAAACGAAAATAGATACATATGTACAGATTGACATTTTTCTGTTCGTGTTAATCAACAAAACGACAATATGGTACCTAAAATTTGTTCGAGTTTCGTGTTAACCGAAATAATTCTTATAAACCGAGGAAATAAAAAAAACCCTATCTTATAGTATAGAGCCTTTCTCGGGACCGAAAAACCGGTTCGCGTTATCCAATAATTTATGTTAACCGAGTTCGTGTTAACGAGGGAGTACTGTAGTAAGTTGGTAATTTTTCGCACTATGGTAAATGAAAACACTACTGCCATTCAATCCCTTAAAATTCTTAAAACATCT